CCTTTGAGCCCAAAAGTTCGGCGAAGGAATGCCTGCTTGCAATTCAGAAATATATAAATAAACCGACATCTCAGCAAAAATAATTAACGCTATTAATTTATAATTCTCAGTTATCTCATAGCTGCTGAATGTTTTACCTTATTGACCTCCAATCTTTAAAGATTTTGGTATTTTTTAAACCAAGAAAAATATTGGTCTGTATTAAAATATCTATCATTCCTAATTATTATTTCTACTTCAACGTAATCAAGCGTCCATCATACATTTCTTCTCAAACACTTGTCAACGGTTGTCTTCGAGGGCATCACTTTGATGAAAATGAGAGAAAACGTCTAAATAAATAAAGCAAAAATGATATTTGCACTTACTATATCTTTTCAATCAGTTAATGTAGTTATTAAATTGGTCCAAATAAATATATGTTTCTTTTTCCTTTTTCTTATGTGATTTAGATAATTAGAATTAAATTTAAAATTTTCACTTGAATTGTTCATTGAAATCTTTGTTTCCATGACGATGAAAGAGTATTTTCACGTAATGCAAATCTAGTAGGACTTCCTCCATAATTAGCTAATAGGTTATCCGTAAAATTGGTTTTTAGCCATGTTTCGGTTTAATGTGAAATCTATCTTCTTGAATTCATTCAATTTTGATTTATAGCTCAATTCTACACTAACTAGTCTAATCGAAGGTCGATATGGTACTTAATATTCCGCTATGGACGCTCTGTATTACCACACTTTTTTTACGCTTATAAATACATTCTCACGAAACGATTAACACAGAAACTATTACCAAACTTTTTCTATATACAATAATAATATTAACTGCAATAGAAAAAGCTTCGTCGGGTTCGTCCACTTCATGGGCACTCCCGCGGCACTGCACCGTGTACACGGCGGAACCCTATGCGATCTGGCACGCGCTCGGGGTGATTCGAGACGATGAGGGCTCTGCCTTCCTTGTCTGTATGGACTCCCTGAGTGCAGTATCGGCAATCCAGGACATATTCGCCACGGTCCCTCTTGTCGTACTCCTTTTAGAAGGATATGCTGAGCTGGAGCGCCTGGGAAAAAGGTAGTAGTTGTCTGGGAACCCGGACACGTCGGGCTGGAGGGCAACGAACGTGCAGACGAGGCAGCGAAAGCTGGGACGTCTCGCCCTCCAGACCAGCTATCGCGATCCGGCCCGGTGACACTGTGCGAGCAGTAAAGAACGCTATGGGAAAGCGTAGGCAGCGTCAGTGGGCCGAGTCGTCCGAGAAGCTCTTGCGAGTTAAGGGCACGACTGAACGATGGCCTCATGAGAATCTGAAACGAAATGAAAGGATCGTGTTAACTCGGTTGAGGATTGGCCATACCCGTCTGACACACGGACATCTGCTTCTGGGTCAAAACCGCTTGTAGAGAAAGGTTGCTCAGTGTGTCTCATCTCGTCGAGAAGTGCCATGCCTTGGCCCCCTACAGGGAGCGAGTAGGCATGAACCCCGACATAAAAACGGTACTCGGGCGAGCAAGTAAAATGTTGAATCCCCCTTTTTTTTTTAGTTAGTTTTTTAGTAGTTTTCTTTTTAAGAGAAACGGGGGTGTTTCCTCACTTGTAAATAGTGTATAAAACGTGAATATCTGTGTTGTGTTTTATTGTGTCGTGTATTTATTTGTAAGTAATTTATTTCTTTGTTGGTTGTGTTTTATTTGTCTTTTAGACTGTAGGGCCGATGGCGGAATATTGACTACCCCATCGGCCATAACAGTGCAGTGAGAGGAGGCTGAAACGACTTTATTGTTGGAACCCCTCAGGGAGAAAAAATAAAATAAAAAATAAAATTTAAAAAATAATATAAAAAAACAAATATAAAATAAAAATAAAAATAGAAAAAGCTATTTTTATAAAAGTACCGTTTCTTCCAAAACAGTACTCCAGCATAATTCTCTAATTGAGAGGCTACTCCCTTTCTCTAGGGTCGCCAGATCATCTAGGGCCGGAAGTTCTCGGGGTGGGGGGAGGCTGGTTTCCCAGTTCGAGTAGTTTCCTGTGTCACTTCAGTCCGTCCAAGAGAGGTCGATCATGGACTTGCCTGTATGCCTGGGAGCATGTCCGCTAGCAGATGGGCCCTCTTGACCATGAAGCCGGCCATGTATCCTATGAATTCCGTGTGATACGTGTATCGTGTACTCTGTGGCTGAGTCGTACTACTAGGGCACAAAATGCATCCCATTGATTTATTTTGAACCGCACTTGAACATATTTTTTAATTAACTATACATATTTATCCTTATTTTTATGAAGTTTAGAGAAATCAAATTGATCAAACTGTACGTTGAAACTTTAATTTTTTAAGCCTGTACATAAAATTGGGCCACGGCCCCAAAAAGCTCTTTTGGTGTAGGCTATGGTTTTTTGGGTTTTTGGACACTTCTAGTGTTCGGTCTCTGTGCCGGAATCATTAAGGTTTATTTCCCTTTCAGAATTGGCTCCCTCTTTTGTTTGGCTCGTTCGATTGTCATTTTACGCCTTTGAGCACCTGAGTTTTTTACTCTTCTCATTTGAACTGACAAAAATCACAATAGAAAATTTCAAGTTTAAGGTATTAAAGGAAGGTTACATCAGTATAAGTTCTACTGTCAAAATCACACTAAATAAGGTATAATTGTAACGTATTAAAATAAGGTTACATCAGGATAATTTAAACTTTTGAAAGTGTATAAAACAAGGTATATGTTTAAGGTTTTAAAATGAGGTTACATAGAATAGTTTTTACTTTCAAAAATCATAATAGACAAGTTACAAGTTTAAAGTATTACAATAAGGTTACATCAAGGAATATAGATTTTCGAAATTGTAAAAAACAAGATACAAGGTATAGGCATAGTTTGAACTGTCAGAAATCATAATAGACATGTTGCAAGTTTCAAAAGTTCATAGTTTGAAATCACAATAAATAACAGTTACATGTGTATTTTGAACCTGACCCCTGCGCTAACTCACCTGAGGAAGGATTAAAATAAATCCGAAGGCGTGTGGATTGAAAGAAAAACTGGCTGTTGTTTTTTTGAGATGACCCAAAATTCTACCTTCGAGAAGGAAAGATCATAAGTTACATAGCAAAGTTTGTACTGTCAAAATCAAAAGACACAAGTTGCAAGGTATTAAAATGAGGTTACATTAGTATAAGTTAGGCTGTCGAAATCATAATTAGTAATGGTTAGGGTTTTACTGTGAGTATGAGCTATCTTTTTTAAAAAAGGATTGAACACCGCAACAACTCCAACATTCATCATTTCTATCATAACAGGTATGAAAATTTGGTTTTGCCAGCATAAGGTGACGGTCAAAATAAGAATGGAAAAGGTGACAAGTTTAAGGTATTTATGTTGAACTACCTATATAATATGCAAGGTACACATTTGAGGTTCTAAAATGAGGTTAAATCAGTATATATTTGACTGTCGTAATCACAATAGACATGGTAAAATTGTAAAATATTAAAATGAGGTTATATCAGTATAACTTGGACTGTCTACGTCATAATAGACAAGGTACAAGTTTAAGGTATTATAATAATGTTATATCAGTATAAGTTAGATTGCCGAACTCCCAATAGTCAAGATACAAGTGCAAAGTATTAAAATGAGGTACTTTTTGTCAAAAATGGTTTTTATTCACAGGTTTGTTGTTTACAACTGTTGTCCCAAAGAATAATCCCACGTAGCATTTCTAATAAAATGAGGTTGTACCAATATAAGTTAGAGGTAGAAAAGGTAGAGGTTTAAGAGGTTTTAAGTATTAAAAAGATTTAAGTTGTACTGTCTGCATCATAATAGAAAAGGTACTAAAATTATTAAAATGAGGTTACATCGGTATAAGATAGACTGTCATAATCACAATTACAGACGATAACAACTTTAAGTTACTAAAATGAGATCACATCAACTTAGCTGGACTGTCTACTGTTAATAGATGGGTACAAGTTTAAGGCATTAATATGAGTAAATGAATTCATGTTGGATTATTGACTTTCCTTCTTGTTTATTATAATTGAATTTACATATTTTTACTCAATTAATTTTTATTATTATTAAATTAAGTGGTGGTGTAAGTTATTCATATGCATTTTAGGAGTTAACTGTCCTGCAGTTTGGATAAAATCTACTTACAAATTATTTTTAAATTTAATATATTATTTACAGATTATATAATATTCATGATAATAAGGATATAATAACGTTATACTACCCTTTAATCCCCCTTTTAGAATACATTTATCCCTAATGACACTAGGAAAAATAGATTGTTCTAGTGAATATATTTTTGTTTTTATCTTTAAAACGTAGTCAGTTTGGACTAAATTTGTGTAGGTGTTTTCAATATAAAAACTGTAAGTAAAGTGAAGTAATTCCTGTCACATGAGGGCTTAACATCCTTAACTTTTTTTCTTCAAAATTATTATCGAATTATGCTAGCCGGGATCCGAACGTATCAAACCAATGTTTTTTTTTGTTTAAAATGTAAGCAAGTAAAGAAAATCTGATTGATTTATTTCACAAAAGCTATTTTAATTCGAAATCCAGTTCTTCGTCGCGAAAGCATGACGGATGGGATTTTGACGTGCTGCAAAATTTAATAAAACTCGAAACCACTCCCCGGAATATAGGTGTGAAATAATTGGACTTATCCACAGGCCCCAATCACACCGGGTCTCAATTGAATAATAAAAAAAAAGTATCTTTGGAGAATATTCTATTTGCGTGTTTAATATGAATGGGTTCTTTCTCGAAATAAGAAACGAAAAAGCCTCGGGCGGACTCTTCGTTACACCTCACTCTAACAGGATATCCCCCCTTCGGAAATCGGTTTTTCCTCTTCACCAAATGTACATCCTAAGGGATGTTTCCCTATCACCCCGGACCCCTTTAAACGGATCCCGATACAAATCCCGTTTATACACTTGAGGAAATTTTATTTCGAGATAACTAACATTGTTTTTTAATTTTTTTTAGGTAACCCGATGATATGCGATTGCCGTTTGGAATGGCTGCATACTCTATATAACAACACGGCCTCGACCCAGATCAAGTCGTCCATCGAAGAGCTGACCTGCCAGGAGAGCGACTTGTCGAACAGCGCCATAGACGAGCCACAGCAGATGCTGCCGATACAGCGGTCCGTGGTCTCAGACGAACCTTTCAACCACTTTCTTTCCCTGCCGAAGGAGACTCTCCCGTGTCCGCAGGAGCTGAAGGCGACTGGACTTCCGGCCGTCCAGCTGGCGACAAAACCTCTCAACTCCGGCAGTTCAACGTCCTCGGCTTCCATCCTCGTCCTCTTCGCCTTCCTGGCCTTCTTCGTCCCTTAGAACGTCGGGACTCTCACGAGAGAAACCAAGGCGAAACCGTTTTAGCGCAGGGAAACGACGATTAACGCGGTATTAATGCTGCTCAATTAAATTAATTAATCATTTGAAATCTTGTGATATGTTGAAAAGTTGTAAATAATTTTGGACGATGCGCTAAAACATCCTGTCTCAACTAGTCACACTTCCGCTCGTTTTAATTACCGGTCGAACTGTCGCAGGAAATGCAGCCATCAATCTCAAACATATTATATCTGATTTGAAAATCAATCATAAAAAATCTATAGTTTTTGTAAACATTAATCACTAAATCTAGACACATTTTTTCTGACCATAATTCAATAATCGAAGGTCCCGTCAAGCAAACTATGACCGTCTTCGCTAAAACAGTCTTTCGTTTAAAAAATAATTATTATTATTATTATAACCCTGTCAGTATATTTTCTATAAGCATCGTATTTATTTTCCTACTGTTCAACTGTAAAATTTCATTGCTATCTTAAATTGTAAAAATTCGAGTAAAAAGAGCTTTGTTAATAAACAATCCGTAGATATTCACGGACTTATAATTTATTCAGCCTTATACAAATGTAAAATTTCCTCTAATTTTCCCCCTAAATCTTGAATTTTCGTGCATACGTAAAAGTACTTACGTATATTTCGAATATTTTACTACAAGTTATTAACATTTCAACATAAAACAGACAAGAATTGTTGAGTATCGAATCGGCCAAAAGATAGAGTTAGGTAGTAAATCGGGTGCTGGTCAACTGAATAAAACAATAGCCACTTTTGCCGAGCTTTCGGAGATATATTTTCTCCTTCCTCAGGGCCTATATTTATGTACATAATTATTTCAATAAGGCATTACAATATCTCAGAAACTGTTTATTTTGTGATTCTTATCAACTATTGAAATTTAACATTTATGTTTTTGTCTTAACAATTGAGTCACTATCTAGAAATTTGTAAAAATGTAAAAATGATACTGATAACATTAATAATATTAACAATTATACTGATAACATTACTTGTATCATTTTCTCAAGTTTATTATTTAATTAATTTAACTAAAACTGTAAATAATGATATGAAAAAGATTAATTTTTGGGTAAACTCAAACATTCTACTTTTAAAGACAAAAAAATGTAATGTATTTCACTTTTCATTAAAAAAGAAAATAAATACTAACAATTTAAAATTTGTTTTTCATACTACAATGATAATGTGTGCTCTTGCTTGCCTATCCCTTTTGCTTACAGTGTTGGTGTGAAAATCGACTCAGTTTTGGGATTTAATTTACATATTGATTCTTTGGTTTCCCGTCTGAGAAATCTCTTTTATAAATTTAGAATTTACGCAACTTTACGAAAATTGAACTCTTAAGGGCAATATATTTTTCTCTGGCAAAATCCATAATAGCATAATGGTATTGTTTCCTGGGGAAATAGTAAATGCTATGCTAAGACAATGAATGTAAATATAAACTCATTCTTAAAATTATTTTAAGTAAACCGTAAATATAATACGAAAAATTATACAGTGAATTGAAAGTAATGATTCTATACCAAACCTTGCTTAAATGTTCATGTTTGTCCATATATAAAAGCAATCTTGTATCTAGTTACATCAGAGAATATAACACAAGACACAATTCATTGGCTAACTCACATTTTTACAATGTGAAAACTACGCTATATTATCATTTTTCATTAAATATGGCACCTAGATTTTTTTTATAAAGAGGAAAATTTATAATTTTAAATTGTAGTTAAGATATTTTAAAGCCAAGATTTAATTTGGTTGTTTGTTTTTTTTTCGTGCTGCACATTTATTCTGTATTATGTTTGTTTTTCATTGTGCTTTTGTAAAGATATATTCTGTTTATTTCTCTGATGATCTCCCAAACCTTCTGCTGTCTAGTACAAGCTTTGTTTTTGACAGCAGGCAGGGATGTACCAAAATATTTTTTTATTATTTTTTTTGGTAAATTTATATGTAATGTACATTCTTGCAGATAAAGGTTTATTATTATTAACAATATTAACAATAAGAAGGGGGCCTCGGTGGCCGCATCGGTTTAGGCGTTGACACGGCGCTCATCACTGTAAGGTAAAGGTCCCGGGTTCGAATCCAACTGCCCTGCACTCGAACCCGACATACAAATGGGCTTATTTTCAAAAACACCGGTTGGTTATAGGTACTAGGGGCACCGATTAGGCTAAATAATAATGTACTTAGATATAGGACCTGAGGAAGGAGAAAATTTATCTCGGAAAGCAAAGGCAAAGTGAATATTGTTTTATTCAGTTGATCAGCACCCGATTTTACTACCAGACAAGAATTGTTGTGCAAAGTCAAATTTGGTTTTCTTCCAGTAATTTATTACACTTGACTATAAAATACGTTTTGTTTTGTTAGTAAGCATACAATCCGTGTGAAATCGGCCACCCTTTAATTAATTTATGGATCGGTTTGTTTCGGATAAATAGAAAAAAATGAAAAAGTGGAGCGGAATTCCGTTATGTTTATGTTTATAGATCAATAGCTAATCGAAAATGGTTTTGCCGTAATAAATTATTAGGCATTTCTATGTCATATTTTTATCCTGACTCCAGCAAACCCCCTTCCTTAAAAAATCACTAATTAAAACAATTAAACGTTTTATTAAGCAGTGGGATAAAACCATGACATTTTACGAAACGTTTTATCGACTTGTGAAATTTTAACATTTTGAAGTGATTTCTAAGTCTTGGCGTTCCGTTCTTCCCCGAGTATTTTTTAATTAAATGTGATTGAAAATATATAAACAAAAATAATTCTAAATAGTTTCCATCTGTAACAAAACAAAAAAATGGAAAAGTCTTTTAAAAAAATTGTAAATATTTAATTGTTTTTATAATTCCTGGTTGAAATTGTATATATTCCTAACTTGTTCTTTCTGTCTGTGAGGCGAAAGTAAAAACAACACACTGAATAAACAAGTCAAAAAACAAATATGCTTGCGTATATACATCTGTCTAGACTGCGTTGTGGCGACAACCGTCACTGTTTAAATATTGAAACTCTCTCTGGGTATCCAAGAGCCAACGCCGCCGCCGTCGCAGAGGTTTGAATTTCAATTCGTATGTGTTTTAGATATTGTTCGAAAGTGATAGACGGACTACGTTCTATTGTAAAAACAAAACACAATTATTTTAACAATAATTTAATTAGAAAAAAAATTCACAAGTGTTGTGTTTACAAAACAAAAGAGCACATTATAGTTATTTCAAGACTTTTGATTATTTAAAAATAAATAACTCGAGACAACTATGAATTTGTACTGAAGACTGAAAAATCTGTTTGTCTCTGGTTAAAAAGAAAACTTATAATATATATATATAACAATGTTTTTTGCCCCTAATTCTGTAAAATAAGTGTTGTAATTTATTGGTGTAAATGTATTGGTGGATTCAAACTTTTTTTATTTCAATTTAAGCTATGTATGTTATAAATTTCACTTATTGTAAAATAATGTTTAAATCTTTTAAAAAAGAAAATCAAAAATAGTTTGTACATTAAGGCAAAAAAGGTATTCCATTTTTTGAGGTTTATGTCATGTAACAAAAAAAATCAAGAAGAAAAAATGAGCCAATTTTACAAACTTTAAATGTACATTATTTTATTAAAAACTATATTTAAAATTTAATTTGGTATTTGTTCTCATTTTTACTTTACAGCTTTGGTCGATGCAAGAATTCTACTCTAAATAATTTCTTTCGAGCAATTTCTTTCGCAATTTTGCGATTTGCAAAATGCAGCCAAATTTAAAAAAAAATGTGGGATGACAAATAAAAGAAAGAAGGACTAAATATTTTCGTTCGTTTTTCTCTGTAGTGCGTATCTAGTGCGTTTCGACGACCGTCAGCACCTGTATATAAAAAGGACATACGAGTAAAAAGTTCACAGTCGATCCTCTCAAAAGGACTTAATTACCAAAACTCTTCCAAATAGGCATTTTATCAAACATTAGTATCTGTATAAACGACATACCCACGAACAGACGGACAGACCATTCCGTCAAAATAACGTAAATGCTAAAACTCTTCTGAACAGGTATTTCGCCAGAGGTCAGAAGCTTAAAAAGGACGTACACACTAGCAAACGCTCAGACCATCCACTCGACTTAACGTAAATACAAACATTCTCTTGAACAGTAATTTTGGCCGATGTTAGTACATAAAATGACATACACATGACTAATCGCACAGACCATCCACTTGAGTTAGCGTAAACGCCAAATTTCTTATGAATTGGTGTTTCATCAAACGTCCGAACCTATAAAAAAAAAGATATGTACATGAGTAAGCGCACAGACCATCACTCAAGTCAAGATGGCGTAAAAGCCAAACTCTTCTGATGAGCATTTCGCCAATCTTTTTTTTTTTTTTGTCTAATTTGGATTCTTATAGATTTCCCCCTTTTCCACTTTAAGCATTTAACATGGAAGATTTTCGTTTCTTCAATAGAATACAGTAAGTATTATTATTTATGTCTGTCTTGCCTTTTGTAGGTACGACAGCCTTTTTCTAGCTATCCCAGGGCAGTTGCATTACAACTGCATTACGTTACATTACTTTACACCGCAACTGCACTACATCGAGATACATACGACTAAACGCCGGACCATCACCAACGCAAGATGGCATGCAGAATCTAGCCTGTAAGGTATGTATTTCTTCATCAATCAAAACGTACATAAAGGTTAAACGTACAGACCAACCACTGAAGATGTTCGTATGCTGACACGCGACGAATAAAGTAGACTAGGATAAAACATGGACGATCTTCTGAGTTTGTCACCTTGGAGTTTTCAACTCAATATATTTGCGAACTGAACAAAATTACCCACTTTTTTGACGCGTCTTTTGTTCTTGTTCGATGCCTTTTCGAGTTCTTTTGGGTGATGTTTCTATTACGACTATTGAGTCGCCTGTTGAGGCTCGACCAAATTGTACCGAAGAGGAGGCTAAAAAATGCTTTGAAATGCATATAAATAAAAAGTAAATAGATCGTAAAAGCTTAATAGAAAAATCACATCAAATCACTCTTGTTTGTTATTCAGGGCATATAGGGTAGAGTGCAGGAAGAAGAAACCGATAAATTGGAAGTGCAATTTCATACACCTATCGGTTTGAATCCTTTCGAGGCATATCAAATTGCAAATAACGCAGATCCATTAATGGGTTAAGGGTAACCATTAATTGATTGGTATTCCAGTTCAATGGCGTATGGAAAAGTATATTAAACGACTACCTAAGCCTAGGATTAGATTGATTGTAGGACTATACAGGGAGTATACCCGGCATACTCAGGAACAGCAGAAACAATGCAGATATGCCACGAAATACATGACTTCTTGGTAAGACCTATTCAGGCTGATGTACCAACTCTTGGGAGAGGACAATTTTAGACCAGATGGAGACACACAGGAGCACTTAACAAAGCTTCTGGGATCTGGTAAAAAGCCTTAAGCTTAATGAAAAGCTCTACGATCTATGAATATTGATTGGGGACTAAAGAAACCAAAGAGAAAATTTATACTTATTTGACAATGGTGAACTTGTAAAAAAATAAGTGTCTTGGTATTAAAGCAAAGGCACGTTTTAAACCAAAAAAATAGATATATTTTCTTTAAATTATTTTTTTCATATTTTGAATTAAGTTAATCAGACTACTAAGAGTATTATCGCACTCGAGCAATCGTATAAATAAATAAAGATAGATTTAGGATTCAATACGGTGATAATGTTCAATTGACCTTTATTGACCCCTTCATGAAGGGTTGCAAGGGTTCTTTTAAATACTTGAGGGAACTATTTCTTTAAAAAACGGTCAATCTCATCAAATAGTCTTCCCGGCTCTACTCCTTAAATGCACCCATCAAAGAAAAGCGGCTTGCATTATTAAGAAATTCCTTTTCCTCCGTGACAACGCAGACATTCTGTAGTAGACGCGTTACGGGGGTTGCCTCGCTGTGCACTTTGATCGTACTGGTCCGCCCATTCTCGCTGTTTCTGTACGAAAAATCCTGTAACTTCACGTCAATTTATTTCTAACATTTAGTTATATCTAGATATTTAAACAATGTTTTTTTATTAAATTTAAATTATTTTTAAATCTTTATCATCAAACTAATTTTTATTTTCATGAAATTCAAATTAGTAACGACAAAAACTACAAATCCAGAGAATATCGATGTTAATTGATGGTTTTACAGTTAAATTTCCATCTAATAATCAATGGATTTTTACCCAAAATAGAAGGGTGACAAATAATAAATATTCATTTTCTATTAAAATTCCGCATATAGCCAGCATTCAAATTAATCAAACCATGGAAAGTTTGACAAGTGATACTTGGAAAATATGGTAAATCTTGTCACATCGTGACATTGCCTGCCCTACACGGTCGTACATCGATTTGGTTTTCATGGGTCAAGGTGTAATTCCATATAATAACGCCGATATAAACCGAAACAAACTGATCTGAGTAGTTAAAACAATATAATGAATTTTTTGACTAATGGTTGTTCGCCGAATTGCACAAACATGGAAACCTATCTCACTATAAAAAGAAAACTTTTTATTTCAAGGAAAAGAACAGCTAAATAAATATCATCAGGTCATGATATTGTTGCTCTGTATGTAAATTTCCTGTTACGCTTTCCTTTGTGCACAGCCATGGCCCCGTTCTGAAGGTTGACATAGTATAATTAACTTTCCTTCTACCTCTCGGGATGTACAAGTGATCATCAGTCGATAGATAAATATAAGAGTGATTAATTATTCAAAGTTACGGTTTAATAGATGAACAGTTACTAAGTGGTGGATTAAAACACAAGTTTTTCCTCTTTTGTTAATATTTAATTTACAAATTATATGATTAGTAGTCAAAGTTTGAACTGTTCACTGAGAGTGGTGGTGCAGTGAGCCAACTTCGTTGCCAGCTCGCAACTGTTATTTTCGCTTTTCACTAAAAGAAAACAAAAAAGTATTAAAATCATAAATTGAGTTGTTTTGTATCAATTATTTCCTTTTGTAAATGGGAATCGGAAAATCTTACAAGTCGATTCATACTTATATCAAAATTAAGTTTATTACTCTAAAAGAAGATCCTTATGAAATAAAAATGACAAAATGTCCCACTGGGCAGTGGCTGATATCATAATAAAAACCTAGCCAACTATAAAATGAAGTTTTGTCATGTAGACCAATATCACTACTTCCAGTGATGTCAGAACTCTTCCAGAAACTACTACCTTCTCTCATAGAAAAAAAAGAGTCTCAACAATAGATCAAATTTACAGAATGGCTGAGATTTAGAAGAGAAACACATCAATTCAGGACTTACCTCAAGCCTTGATAAAATCTGGCATGATGACTTAATACGAAAACTTTAAAAAATTCTTCCGATCCGAAAGCTTTCCTCTTCCCACCTCTCGACTATACCGAGTATAGCGGTCGAATACTCCGAACTTTTAGAAATAGTCGCTGGTGTTCCGCAGGGGAACGTTCTAGGACCAATCCTGTATTTGCTTTAAACCATTCACCGACCACAACATAACTAACTATACCAACATTCACGACAATGCGAATCAGTTTAGGGGAAAATAGTATCGACAAGAAAACTGGAAAATATGGAGGATATTTATGGAAAATATATCAATATCGGATTGACAGGTAGGTAATCACTGAATGAAGTTTTGTCATATGGAACAATATCGGTTGATTTGACTCCCAGAAATGTCCCAGAAACCCATAACAACAAAGGCAGACAAGGATTTAAAAAATAACTAAGCAGTAGATAAATAATCGCAAGCTCTTCAGAAAATCGTATTTAAGTAAAATAAAAAAGTTAGCAAAGTTCAATGCAACTATTATTTGAACTTTTTACTGAACAAAAACTTGACAGGATTTCCCCTCATTTGCCGAGGAATGCAAGAAAGATAAAAGAAATTCCCCATTTTAAATATAATTTTGTAACAACTTGATTACAAAACGTTTACATGTGGAAAATAGGTCTTAATTTTGAGCTAATTTCCAGGGCCAGTTTCTCTATCTGCTCATAATAAACAAAAACACATCACAAAAACAATCCAGTTATTTTTTAAAACATCTACGCAATTTAAAATTAATTTAACTCGAAGAAATTCAGTTTCAGGCAGATTTTTCCCCTCTTCTTTATCCCTGCTAATCCAGAAGAGAAGCTTCAGATGGGTTGATTTAATCCAAAAATCCATAATATCATATCCCTAGGTTGATGAGAAATTCATAATGTACCGAAGCTTAATCCACTTTTACAAGCAAGTTTGCCAATTTTTTTCAAGAATTTATTATTAATTAGCCTATGTTTTTATGGTAGGTTTAAAACACTTGATAATTACGAAAATTTGCTGGATGTATGATTGGCACTTGCTTACATCCAATTTTTGAAAGACTCCAAAGTACTCTGTTAGAATGTGTTAAATTTGTAATACTTCAAGTCTCTCTTATCTCTAATTAAGGAGAATATTTTACAGAAAAATCAAAAATGTTAATATAGTTTCAAACAATATGCAAAAAGGCCATTTAAAGTTCATCTGTACAAAGCCAGCACTGATGTATGATTATTTAATTTATGTTTTAAAATATTAATTATTGTTAAATATTGGCCATATTTACCAACGGCTCCGCAGTGAGAGAGTATGTGCCTTGCATGCCCTGTCTTAACTATGTTGCCTGGGTATACATTTGCCGCTAGTCTTGATGCACCCTGAGGACTAAAACGGCCTGAAGACGTCAGCTAGAAAAAAAACACAACAAAGAAAAAACACATGCACAATGAAAAAAATTATCTTATGGATGGATTATCGGTTGGGTTTTTTACAAATAGTATTAGAAATCTCGATGGTTCATGTCCTATAGATAGTTGATAGTTCAATAATATTTTTTTATCTACTTTGGCTCCTTATTTGGAGGCGTAGGGATTTCTCTCTTTAACTTAAACTTTCGTCTATTGTGTCCAATCTCAGCTAATGGTTTCCCAGGAAGATTTTCGTGTCTTGAATGAATTACAAACTTCTCCTCAGGGGGTCCTTTAAGTGTTTTCAAATGGATTGGGCCAGTGTGAGATTTGAGGAGATTGTGTGAAGTATGGATTCGAATCCCTCCGCCAAACTGTTGAAACTCACAATAGTTTGTGAACTGGTGATAGTTCTTCATAAAACTATTTACTAGTAATGATTTTAGGACTGTAGATAGTTCATGTCCTAATGATCGATCTATATCTATTGTCTTCCTTAAAATATACAGTAATATACAAATTATAACGTTCTTGTACATGGAAAGCACAATTTTTTTACACCGGTGTTTAAATTGATTTAAGCGTTAAGAATCATAAAACGTATATCGATCGTCAAACCATGTTTGTCTTTTGCAAAGTAATATTTTGATAAATTTCTACACTGAAAAATAAAAAAAAGATTAGCCTGACATTTAAGATAATTCGAATGTTATGAACGTGAGGAGAGTCTACGTAGCCTGGATTTAAACATACAAACTAAACCAAATTTGTGGACGATCGAGTGTTTTTTTTTTATAATTTTTAAAAATTATTGACATTTTGTATATTTTTTCAATTAGCAATAGTTAATTAGTTATTTTGCTTTTGACAGTTTTTTATATTTTTTAGAATTAACTATAATTTTTGAGAGTTTTTTATGTTAAAACAAGCAATGTAAAAGTGACATTTTTATCACAAAAATGTAGGTGAAATCTGAGTTTATTCATTAGTGCAGCGAATTAATTTTCTGCAATGTTTTATACTATTTATGATTTAATATATATCACGATCGACAGTTTCAATATTCTTTTGGATTATTGGTAGTTTTGAATAGGGTTTCTGTATTCATTTGAACTAAAGATTTCAATTAAAACATGTACATTTTGTGTGTGTGTGTGTGTGTGTGTGTGTGTGTGTGTGTGTGTGTGTGTGTGTGTGTGTGTGTGTGTGTGTGTGTGTGTTAAAGGGGAGCAAACACTTGCCAATGTAAAAATGTCAATATTATTGGGAAATCGTTAGATGCGGTCTGACGGTCACGATTTCCGAATAATCATAGACTAACGGTCACTAATCACCACAAATGTCAATATTTGTATTCCGTTTCCTCAATGGATGATATTTTAAGTTGTTTTCGTTTTTTTTAATGTGAATACCCTATAACTTCGTTCTTTTTAATGGAAGATGTTTTCATTGGAATTATTGTGTCAGTTCAAATTTTAGTTTTCACACGAACAATTTTTTTTTCTTACTCCTTTTTTTATATTTTTAGTTAGACTCTGTATATCTAAAAAAACCGAAACTATTCACTTTTAGTCTATTACTTTCTAAAATGACAGAAAAACGTATAAATGTCTGAATGTTTGTGAATTTTGAGAAAAGATGTAATAAAATTCAAATTTAACAACTTTTCAGGAGAACTTTCCAGTCATGTTGTTTATTACATCAACCCCCCAACGAATTGGCCAAAAATGGCACAATTTCTGGCTTGCTTCTGGTCTCATCTATGCTAATATTGGATATGAATGAGATCGACATTAAAAAATCAACTTATAACTGATTGACAAAAGGAATACCTCGAGAAAAAAAGGGCCTGAATTATAAAACAGTGTTACCACTAATATGGCGCGCATCATGGTTTCAAGACGATCAAATATCCCTGCATCTATGCTCGACAGAAACGTAGGGAGTGATTTCCAAAGCCTACCATCACAAAATAGGAAAATCCACATTTGGAACATATGAAGATCTTAACTACATCATGCGGAGCTGTAGTAAATAACCCAACAAAGGAGGTACTTTTTAAAGGTCCTTCACCAGGTTCAGGAGAACAACATCGCCACCCTCGTACAAGGAACTGATAACACCCGAAGACAAAGAAAACATACCAAGAATTGTATAAATTTTAACCAAAATAAAGGTGAACGGGTCAATTGAAATAAATTAATCCTATTATTATTTAATAAACCTATATAATAAATTTGTCACTATTGTTTGCTATTGTTATTATGTAAGCACGTTATTATGCAGGTTGAATATAATTCGTATTGTTTGTTAAATGGCTGAATATTTATTTGGGCCAATAAAAAATAAAATAAAGCAAAAAAATTAATAAACCCTAGCCCATTTATATGTCGGGCCGAAGCCGCTGGATTCGAACCCGGTACCGCTACTTGACAGTGATGAGCGTCGTGTCAACGTCTAAGTTGTGGTCACCGACGCCCCAGATATTCCCTTGCGACATATTTTCGATCACATTTCGAACAAGAATGGTTATCAATTATCACAGAATAGTTCATAAGATAATACCAGACAGGGTTTATCTTCACAAATCTAAATAAAATTGTGCACTCATCCAAAGCATCCGTTGTTTTGTAGTTCTTTTGATCGTAAAATGAACTCGTTACAATTATTTTGTTTGTTATATAGTTTTTATTTCTCTTTGTTTATTATTTTGCATAAATCTAGCAATAATTTATAGTTTTAGTGTTTTCCAAAGGTTCAATGTTGTAAGCACAGTATTTAGCTGTAATTTTTCATATACATTTTTCAGCTTTGTTTTTTCTATAGATTTTTATTTTTTTATAAACGCACCAGATACGATTGGTGAAAATCTATGATTGTATTAAAACGCAAAAATATTTTCAGCCCAAAATTCACAAAACTAGTTATACAGGGTTTCTCATGAAAATACGTCAATGTCAATAGTTCAGAAGGCCATCTTACATGTCAAATTCGACTAAAAGTCCCTATTGATTTTTTAGAATATAAACTTTTATGAATACTATCTAAAGATTGATTTTTAAAAAATAGACATTAAGATCTTCGAACTTTTAAAATATGATATAACTATTATCAAATAATGAAAGTAATACAGAGTAAACAAAAAATACTCTTAGGTACAAAGTTGACCCTAATAAAAAAGCTTCTAAAAATTAATTAAATCTTTAAAATGTACACCTTCTCAAAGAATACAAGCCTGACAACGTTTCCTGATAGGTTTTCAGAAGGTTTTTATTTTTTCTTATGTCCAATTGTGCACCAAAGAAACGTTCTGTTTACTTTGAATTATATCCATTATTGTTTAATAAAAGGTTTAAAATCCGTTATCTTCAAAACCCTTGAGCTGTTTTCATTCTATTACGTCTCAATTTAATTTTAACCTGCCGTATTCAGTTTTTCAGGTAATAAAAAATTACTTAATTAATATGAATAAAATCTTTTCCGTCTGTTTAAACCATGATTTTCCATTCTTTTTCGATATTCCAGGAGATCTATCATGCTCTTCGAAAAAAAGAATGTACCGATCCTACCAAGCATCCGATAGTGAATTTTTGAAATGTTTTAAAGATATTGTAATATTTAAATTGTATAGGTTTACGCCAACGGAACGGCTATCCTCCGACTGAAAAGTTCAGTAGATTACTCATTCTTTGTCAAGTTTAATGTAGATTGTACAAACGACCTTAATTTCCATTGAAAAAAAGGATCGTTAACGGAGAAAATTTATTTTGTTGTGTGACAAAATGTTTTCAATCCAAAACTTTCAAGATACCTACATGTACATATGTAAAATTGCATGGGTGAGGGTAATAAAAAAAATATAGACAGAAAACCAACAAAAGATACTAAATATAAATTCAAAAGAAATAAGCGAGTAAAAGGATGGAACAGGAGTTCAAAGAAAGTAAATTGAAACTCTATAAGAGTGGTGAGTTTTGATCTTCTTATATATAGTTTTATTAATTTTAATTATAGTTTAATTGTTAATAATTAGTTCATTACTTTTGCAATTAAACTGTAAATTGTAACATACACAATAAAAATTAGACAGTATTTTTATTTTTTTCAAATATTATGAATTATCAAAAAATATTTCAATTAACTCAAAATGATGAAAAAATATTCTAGTTTAATTATGAAAAATACAAATTTTGAGAATTGTTATTTTCTAAATATCGATGTCTCCTGCACAATTGTTTGTAAAAATTAAGTTGATTTTAACTTTGCTGTAATGTTTTCTTCAACTGCGATTTTCGCGACAAAATTTCAACATTTTTGTATTAATATCGGAAACAATTGAGAATTAAATTTCAAAATATTACCAACTAGTCCTCTACTATTAATTGCTTCATAACGATAAATAAGTATTCTACCAAGATTGTACAAATGTATTTTTTAAATAAAAAACTTACCAATCCGCGAGATTCTAAATAACACGCCAGTAAGCACTGGAAAAGATACGAAAATTTCATAGTAATATAATTTTTATTGATACTACGATTTTATATAGATAGCTTACCTTTCCAGCTTCAGTTTTTGGAATTTCTTTTCTTTTAAATGAATCTATCTCTTCTAAAAAATATTTTTTATTAATAATTAGGTAATTATCAATTATATCTACTCTACCATCCTGGCTGGTTTGGTCGGAAGAAAGGCAGACCCAAAACGATCCGTAACGACCAAATTACACGTTCATCGACCCACAGAACACATGGATAATTCCCATAAATTAATAAAATCATACTTGCCTTTGTTTGGGTGTTCTCGGTTGATGCACTTGGTCAGCCTTGGGAATCGGTCAATCACACAGTCCGCCTAATATGGGAGTCGAATATTACGTTTTTATAAAAATGAATTCCGAATTATTGTAATATATATGCAAAACCTTGATTATTATAAAGACAATTAACCAATACTTGAGCATGATGTCTGAGATTTGTACGTAATTTTCGTCCACTCTGGAAAAAAAACGTTTTGGATGAGCAACTGCGTTATGGGAACTAGAAATGAATCAAAACCTCTGGAGGTCGACACCTTGGGCAGGATTGCATCCGCTTCCGCCCGTTTGGTTAAATGGAACGTGTGTTGATCGAACAATTATTAAAATTTAGGCCGTTGGAGTTGAGAAAAATACCTAAACGTCATTTGGGTGCATTAGTTCGGTATCATTTTCCACGTTTTACCTTATTCTTCGATGAGCTCAAGATGATCCTGAAATATTTGAACTGGCTTGGATGGATAGTTAGGATGTAATCGGCAGGTCATCAATAAAAATCTGCACCCTCGGGGCAAAACTGGTTTAACCAAATTATGACAAAATAAGTATTCCAGTAAGTCTTAAGGCCTGATAGATTGAGTACAATTGATAAAATAAAGAATAAAACCATTTCCGTTAATAAAATTGCTGTAATGTTCGCGTAGGTTGTAAGGATGGTATGGGGATGTATAAAGCAGTATAAATAATATATAGGATGGGATGAACAATGGTCCCTTGTGATCAGCTGGCTAGGATCGGTCTTGTCTCTGAGAACCTACTGCCGGACCCTACTTTGAAGCAACGATCTGTTAGATATGATTTTAAGAGTAGGGAATAAGGGGTTCCAGACCGTGACAAAAGCTTGAGACACTTCTAAGAACACATTGCTAATGTCTACAACCTTAAGCATTGTTGAACCGTGGAATGGCGAGGATGGAAACCGAATTGATGAGGTTTTATTAAACCTAGGTTTTTAAGTCTTTCAAGGTTTAAAGGATTATAGACATTATAGGGAGCATGTGTACGTAATAGGATGGTGTAAGTAAAGTCTGGATATTTTGACCCCATCCCTACTATCTATTAAGATTATTTAACACGTTGCTCGGCGATTCGATGAAACGTGGTTTTCACAATGTTCCAAACCTATTATGAAATGCAACATTTGTGATGGTACGTTTTCCTCTCTTTTCGCATAAACCAAGTTGAGTTTATTTTGGATCCGCCGCCGCGAAGGGCATCCTGAAAGGGGAGTTAAAACGCGAATTCCGAGTTAGACTGAGAATGAAAAATGCGCTCTAGGGGGGTATGCTAATACATAAAGCAGAATCAGAACGGCAATTGTAATTTATACAGGGGCGAAATGAAAAACTGGTAGCGATTGTATACAAGCAGGCTGAATCGTGTTTTATTTCACCGCTCTTCACCCTCCGACTATTAGATTTTTTTTAATGCAAAACATATGGAGTAGCTCCCATGGGAGAAATAAATACAAATACCATGAAAAGATTGAAAAATAATTACAATCCTCAAAGAACGTTCATCTCTTTCATCTTTTTTGATTAACTACCGTAACAAGCGATGCTGGCTAAGGGGGGAATAATTAAAATCAAAACATTCGACAACTGTATTGCTGTGTGCTGTTTTCCATTTTATAAAAAAAGTTGAATTTAAAATTAATGCAATGCGAACTACCGAAAAAAGTTAAGAGAAGCAGTGAACTAACGAATAATTCATGCGACCAAACTACAAATACATCTCCAATGTTTGCTAAAATATTGCTGACGATTGAACCGTGAATAGAATATCATCTAACTGATTGAACCATATTTTCCAAGCATCTGCCTATTACTTGTGTAAATTATGTAAGTATTTATATATATAAAAGTATATATAATTTATCTGTTAATAAGATACACAGGGCTGTCGGTGGTCGCAACGGTTTAGACGTTGACACGGCGCTCATCACTGTAAGGTAAAGGTCCCGAGTTCGAATCCAGCAGCCATTCGAACACGACATACTTACAAATGGGCAAAACACCGGCACCCCGAGAGTTGATATAACCTCTTTTGTTGCGAACCCACGTAAAAAATATATATATATTTANTGGCTAAATACGCCGCTGCTCTACCACTTGAGCTATTGTGACTTCTCATGAAATCTCAACCCCACCTTTTGAATTTTCCCTCATTTTTGCTATTTTTCAAATGTCGTATAATCTATTCGATTCTCAGCGACAAATGAAATGGCCACGGAGAGCTTTAATGAAGACATACTTCATTTTACTGATTAAATCCATTAGAGTTCGTGGTCCGATTGACCGAATAACTTTTTTTAATTAATTAATCTTTGTGTAAGATATTGATTGAGATAAAAAGATAGTGGTATTGGTTGAAAAATGGCAAAAAGGAGGGGAAATTCGAAAGGTGGGGTTGAGATGGGAAGTTGGTGCCCGAGTGGATCGAAGTCACGATAACTCAAGTGGTTAGAGCAGCTGCGTATTGAGCAGAAGGTTGTGGGTTCAAATCCCGCTCGTGACACTGACTGTTTTTATCTCAACCAATAACTTACATAAAGATTATTTAAGTATAAAATTGTATACCACTTGAGCTATCGTGACTTCAGCCGTATTTAGCTGAAGGTCGTGGGGTCGAATCCCGCTCATGACACTGACTTTTTATCTCAATCAATACCTTACATAAAGATTAATTAAATGAAAAAAGTTATTCGGTCAATCGGACCACGAATTCTAATGGATTTAAAATTAATGTATCTAAGAACTTATTTAACTATAATATTTTAATGCAAAACCAATTAAACGAGATCTGAAATTCATGAGTTTTAATTAACAAATTTAATTATGATAGTTTGAAAAAAAATTAAACAAAACACCGGACAATCATTTAGTGATATAATGAATTGCTATAATAAAAATTATAATAATATAAAGTTATAATATGTTAACTATCGCTAAATGAATTTACAGTGTTTTGCTGAAATTTATTTAAAACTATCATAATTACGTATTTTTTATTAAAACTCATGAATTTCTGATCTCGTTTAATTTAATCTACATTACAATAAATGTTGTAATTAATGCAAAGATAAATATACATGCATGTGTCAGTCATATATTTTTTTATGTCAGTTAAGATAATTCATGATTAAATCCATTAGAGCTCTTGGTCCATTGACCAAATAACTTTTTTTCAATTAATTAATCTTTATGTAAGGTATTGGTTGAGATAAAAAATTCAGTGTCACGAGCGGGATTCGAACCCACGACCTTCGGCTAAATACGGCTGAAGTCACGATAGCTCAAGTGGTATAGCAGTGGGGTATTTAGCCGAAGGTCGTGGGTTCGAATCCAGCTCGTCTCACTGACTTTTTTATCTCAACCAATACACATACATAAAGATTAATTAATAATTCATGATATTCATCCACATGTAGGGGGCCGTTGCAACTTGGTTTAAACTCAATTCAGTACTGAACCTTGTTCAACTCAAAAATTTCCGTTTTTTATTTAGACTTGAACCATGTTCAAACAATGATCCTGGTTCAAATCTGAACGGCCTTCGAACGTGGGTTAAACGGAGAACAGAGGTGATCGCGTCCATTTCATAATAATATAACCTGTACGTTGTTAAAAGTGTGATCTCACAATTCAACTTTTCGTGTGTTTTTTTACACGTTTCAATAAAAATGGATTAACTTTTGTTGTTCTTTCTTATACAATGTCCTAATTGTCTTTATTTTGTTGTTCTAATCAGGAATAAGAAGTCCGGAAATGTGTATTTCTTTTGCGCTAGAAACCGTATTTTATCTCGTATGTCTATTTATTCATTCTCATCAAGTCGTGTCATCATTAAGCCGAGACGTTCATAAAACCATAAATTTTTGCAAAAGACCTTAAGTTTGCAATAGGTAATTTGTGTTTGTGGTAATTTGTGTATTATATAAGTCGTTCACGATACCCCCCCCCCCAAATATGAACACACATACAAGAATTCATTACCATGGTTAATATGCATAGATCATAAGGCAAAAAAAAAGTCGTTGAGCGTCGTCCAAAGGAAATAATGTTTATGATAAAATTGAGAGGATCACCAAATCGGTAATCATACCTGTTGAAACCATGGTTTACACGCAAAAACTTTACCCCAAAACTAAAATTATCATATTGAAAATTGTAACAAAGTTGGATTCATTAAATAACAACTAAAAATAAAACGACAATTTATTTAAAGAAAACGATTATAGGGAAATTAAATCGTGCTCTTATGCCACATGGAGACAAACGAAATTAAAATTAAATTTAAAATGAACAATAAAACACAACAAACGCGTTGACACCCGCGAGTCTGGCCTCTACTTATCTTTGTAATTTTGGCTTTGGCTTTTTCGTCGAAAACAATAGGTCGCTACATAGGATTGCCTGGTAATCCGAGACAAAAGACAAACGTTTTGTTTTGCAGTAATAAATTAGGCAATTCAAAAGTTAAATAATATTTACGATAAAATTCTAATAATTTTAACATCAATTTCGAATCCAATTGAGCAATAACATTTTGTTTTGTTTTTTTAAACTATTTTTCAAGCAACAACTAGTTGAACTGAATCAGAACAACAAAACTTAAATCATAAGAAAGTGCCTTAAAAGAAACATGTTTGTTTGTAAAGGAAATTTCATTTGGATAGTAGATGGATACAAGAGTAATCAAATTGATGAATTTTTGAAAAAAAAATGTAGATGAACAACAGACGACAAAGATTTCCTTGAATTGGTAGGTACATATATTGGTAGATGACCAAAGCAAGGTGTTTTAGAACCAACAAGACCATTTTCATGAATGAGACAATGATGGATTCTTTAACAGATTCAGTACGTGAACAACAATTTTCACCGACATATTCGAGGAAAGAAAAATTAAGAAAAAAGTAAAAACGCAAAAATAGTAAACAAAAGTCTATGAAAAGTGGTACAACAACCAATGTAAACAATGGATGAACACTATCTCTAGCTATAACCGTACAAAGTGACTACAACCAGTTCTACCAAATAGTGGTTGAACTAGGATCAGTTGAACGGTGGTCCCTCTGAACTTGGTTCAAATTATGAACGACGTTCCAGTGAACATGGTTTTAACCATGACTGGTGCGACTGGCCCTAAAAGGGATAAACGTAAAATAATCTCCTCTTAAAGCTTATAGAAAATACTTTCCGGGCAGATATTGTTATATTTTTGTAATTTTTTTTTTAATGGGAATATATGAAAAGTCCATAGAAGACATTTTCCT